AACGTGGAAGATATGCACTGGCAAATAGTTTTAGCTTTAGTATTTTATAAAATGAAATTCAAACTTTTGCTAAGAGAGTAACGTCTGAGTAAGTGGATTAATTTTGACAAACATTTGTCTATGGAGTGATGTAATCTGAAACATTTTGTCACCAAAAAATGACAAATTGTATCTTTAGGAAATTTGACACAGACCTTTACATGGTCCTGAGCTTATACCTAAACAAAAGTATTGACCAAGTAACAATTTCGTTCCACCACATGTACCACATGTGGTTCGAATGACAATAAAGAACCTTGACTTGGCTTGACTTAATGCTGTGAGTTGATCCGATTGAAGGGCAAACTTTAATCATGGTCTGAGACAAAAAGCAGAGGTCATACACAGGGAGGCCGAGGTCCGAGAACAAATACAGAGGTGAATCCGAAATCCAAAAACCAATGAGCATAAAGTAGTCGTAGATATCAGGGTCAGAAATGCAGAATAAACCATAAGTGGGGCAGGCAGGGCGGCAAATGCAGAAAACAAGCATGAGGTCGAAACAAGAGGGTCAGGCTTGAACTTGAAAGAATTTCTGGATACTAGCAAAAGTGCTCGATAATCTGGCAGAGCTCTTGTGTGGATGGAGCTCTTATATAGAGCGGGCAGCAGGTGCAGGGCACGGGCGCTGATTGTGGGGGAGAAGTGGTCATGACAGGTGGCAGAGAACAGCGATCATGACAGAAAATGTAGCATTTTTATGAAAATTGGCATAATGTGCAAAGTATTAAAAAAAATTTTTCAAGGACTCAAATCCGATCCGCCTAAAATCTTCTTATATGCAGTACCATTAACATAGCGGTGCTGAAAAAAAATTTTCAGGAAAAGTTGCTCTGTGGTTAAATTACTGAGCTATGTTCATGCATAGGGCAGCACGGTGGTGCAGTTGGTAGCTGCCGCCCCTAAGCAGGAATGTTGCCAGATTGTCTCCATGTGTCACCGTAATGGACTGAGACCTGTCCAGATGTTCCTGTGATGGACTGGAGACTTGTCCAGGTGTTCCTGTGATGGATTGAGACCTGTCCAGGTGTTCCTG